TGTTGTTGGTGATTCACTGAGAAAGCAACCATTTGAAACAAATCATTTGTTGTTGGTGATTCACTGAGAAAGCAATCACTTGAACCAGTGACCCACATAAAATGTGTGTAGATGGCATCAAAATTAAAGTTATGTTTCAATGCTGCGTATCATTGACATACTTTACTCATATGAATTATTATGTATTTGTACCACTGCAACATTCAACTTAATGAATTAAACGTTAGTACGCCCGTACTGAGACATGTTTCATGTGGAGTCAGTGAATCCATGAAACGTTAGTACGCCCGTACTGAGACATGTTTCATATGGAGCCAGTGAATCCAAGAAACCCAAAGCCAGTGTTCAATCTCAGAGGCTGTCATTCAAATGTTTGCTGTTCAGGTCATGAACTAAGACATGGCCTAGATGACTTGTTCATTTTTGTGGTTAGTAAAATCATATGATCATTTAACTTTAGATTTACGTGATCAAATCTCATACAATGTTAGACATGATCAAATCTCATACAATGTTAGACATGATCAAATCTCATACAATGTTAGACATGATCAAATCTCATACAATGTTAGACATGATCAAATCTCATACAATGTTAGATATGATCAAATCTCATACAATGGTAGACATGATCAAATCTCATACAATGTTAGATATGATCAAATCTCATACAATGTTAGATATGATCAAATCTCATACAATGTTAGATATGATCAAATCTCATACAATGTTAGATATGATCAAATCTCATACAATGTTAGACATGATCAAATCTCATACAATGTTAGACATGATCAAATCTCATACAATGTTAGATATGATCAAATCTCATACAATGGTAGATATGATCAAATCTGATACAATGTTAGACATGATCAAATCTCATACAATGTTAGACATGATCAAATCTCATACAATGGTAGACATGATCAAATCTCATACAATGGTAGACATGATCAAATCTCATACAATGGTAGACATGATCAAATCTCATACAATGTTAGACATGATCAAATCTCATACAATGTTAGATATGATCAAATCTCATACAATGGTAGACATGATCAAATCTCATACAATGTTAGATATGATCAAATCTCATACAATGTTAGATATGATCAAATCTCATACAATGTTAGATATGATCAAATCTCATACAATGTTAGATATGATCAAATCTCATACAATGTTAGACATGATCAAATCTCATACAATGTTAGACATGATCAAATCTCATACAATGTTAGATATGATCAAATCTCATACAATGGTAGATATGATCAAATCTCATACAATGTTAGACATGATCAAATCTCATACAATGTTAGACATGATCAAATCTCATACAATGGTAGACATGATCAAATCTCATACAATGGTAGACATGATCAAATCTCATACAATGGTAGACATGATCAAATCTCATACAATGGTAGACATGATCAAATCTCATACAATGGTAGACATGATCAAATCTCATACAATGTTAGACATGATCAAATCTCATACAATGTTAGACATGATCAAATCTCATACAATGTTAGACATGATCAAATCTCATACAATGGTAGACATGATCAAATCTCGTACAATGGTAGACATGATCAAATCTCATACAATGGTAGACATGATCAAATCTCGTACAATGGTAGACATGATCAAATCTCATACAATGGTAGACATGATCAAATCTCATACAATGTTAGACATGATCAAATCTCATACAATGTAAGACCGTAACATAAGTTTGGAGGAACAAAAAAGAAAAAATGTATCATTTCATTTAATTCTGGCACAAACTCCTTGATCTCATCATGCTGCCACAAGCACTTTGTGGATTTCAAACAAGTTGAGCTTTTTTGTACAATGGCATTGTTTTCTAACATTTAACATAAAAACTATTATTAGTCATTTGAAGATTACTGTCCAATCTTGAAATAAAACAACACAATTTTTACTCCATTTAAGTGACGCTTCTTTTGGAGCAATCTATGTTAAAATTGTGTTCATATTTTTGAAATTTTAAATAAAATGTCTAAAATTATGGATGCAATCAAAGAAACTTTTAGGCAAATATCATAACTGATAAATGTGTGTTATACACGAATGCCTACGATGCACAAGATTTTATGGTCCAAACTCCAAAAATTCTGACATGTATTGTGTGTCTGAACATATTTGACTATTTTGTTACATAAAGAAGAACATTAATAAAAAAAAAATAATGGTACATTTCAATGGAATCATTGATTTAAAATGTTTAGTGTTCATGCCCAGATCAAACAAAATGGATGTGATGAATTATGGCTGGATGCAAGAGCTCTTTATGAATTTGTTGAAGGCAATGAGCAACTGCCCTAACATAATAATATATTATACAACTTTTAAACACACCACCATTAGAACAGACATGTTGTGTCATGTGAAAAAACAGACTGCACACCATTATTAGAACAGACATGTTGTGTCATGTGAACAAACAGACTACACACCACCATTAGAACAGACATGTTGTGTCATATGAACAAACAGACTACACACCACCATTAGAACAGACATGTTGTGTCGTATGAAAAAACAGACTGCACACCATTATTAGAACAGACATGTTGTGTCGTATGAACAAACAGACTGCACACCATTATTAGAACAGACATGTTGTGTCGTATGAACAAACAGACTGGGTAGTTCAGAAGCCCTGCTTTACAAACTCTTAAACAACCTTTACAATCATTAAGCCAGTGTGGACAATTACTCCAGAGATGAAAACACACAGATACACATCATGACACAGATACATATCATAACACAGATACACATTATATGACACACATATACACATCATATACACATTATGATACATCATATAACACAGATAACACATCATGACACAGCTACACATTATATGACACATCATATGCAGAATGCATTACAGGAACTTAATGAACTTCCTCATATATCAACTACAATTTGCAACACGGTTCATTAAAAACTTTGACTGATGCAATCTTGTTGTACACAGTGATGCAATCTTGTTGTACACAGTACAAATCACATGCATCAAATGACAAACAACTCAAATTGCTCAAGACAACAAATCTTTTTGTTTACTTAAAAACCAGCCTGCCGTAAGATCTAAAAAGCAAAAGAAATGTATAATCAACTATGACATATGGATCAACTATGACATATGGCTCAACTATGAAATATGGATCAACTATGACACATGGATCAACTATGACATATGGATCAACTATGATTAATGGATTAATCTCTATCCTCCATTGGATATCATAATTAGCCCAAATAGAAGCAATGATAACGTGAGTCAGGCTTGACCTTCACCTTGATGTTTGATTAGGAACAAAAAGGGAAGCCTCAAGAGAAAATTACACTGTATATGAGAACAGGGATAACTCTTGCTGGGAATCATTTTTAAAAGCCAAGGATAAAAATCAACACCCGCTCTCTAAATAAAATGAACTTTACAGACCTAAAAAAGAAATTTCCATCTTCATGTTTTGAATGTCAACATATGCAGTGAAGCTTTTAAATGGTATGGTTTATAGTGAAACTATTTTTATGTTTATATGGTAAGGTTTATAGTGGACCTACTTTTATGTTTTAAATGGTATGGTATACAGTGGACCTATCATTATGTTTTAAATGGTATGGTATACAGTGGACCTATCATTATGTTTTAAATGGTATGGTATACAGTGGACCTATTTTTATGTTTTAAGTGGCAAGTTATACATGAAACTATTGACTGAATTTGACATTTCTGGAATGGCATTTTGTTTAGATAAATTTTTTTTAATGAATGAAAAAGTTCAAAGGTGGGATGGAGAGAAACTGAGATATCATATAACTCAGGGGAGAGAATGTGAGAAAGGAGAGATAACAGAGGAAAAGAAAAGGGATATGTAACTCAGGGGAGAGACGGGAGCAAGGGAGAGATAAATCAGAGGAGAGGCAGGGTGAGATGACTCTGGGGTGAAGGAGAGAAAGGGAAAGGTAACTCAGGGGATAAAAGGAGAGGAACTGAGATATAACTCAAGGGAGAGAAGGAGAGGAACTGAGATAATTCAGGGTAGAGAAGGAGAAGAACTGAGATATAACTCAAGGGAGAGAAGGAGAAGAACAGAGATATAACTTAAGGGAGAGAAGGAGAGGAACTGAGATATAACTCAGGGGAGAGAAGGAGAGGAATTGAGATATAACTCAGGAATAGTTTGGAAGGGAGAGATAATCAAGGAGAGACAATGAGAGAATGGGGGAGATGGAGAGGAAGGGAGAGAAAACTCAATGAGGAGAGGAGAAAGGGAGAGATAACTCAGGAGAGGAAGGGAAAGATAATGTAAAAAATTGAAGAGTGCAATGATGACATTAATTTTAAAAATCTACATCAAGCTTGCTAACTTTTGTGTGAAGCCCTTTTTATAGATGTATCTAAACTTAAATTAAGCTTTTAAAAATGTTTTTTTATGAAAATGGTTTCTTAGATGACTAAGAGCTACTCAACTGATGAGTGACTTAGATGACTAAGAGCTACTCAACTGATGAGTGACTTAGATGGCAAAGAGCTACTCAACTGATGAGTGACTTAGATGGCAAAGAGCTACTCAACTGATGAGTGACTTAGATGGCAAAGAGCTACTCAACTGATGAGTCACTTAGATGGCAAAGAGCTACTCAACTGATGAGTGACTTAGATGGCAAAGAGCTAATCAACTGATGAGTCACTTAGATGGCAAAGAGCTACTCAACTGATGAGTGACTTAGATGGCAAAGAGCTACTCAACTGATGAGTGACTTAGATGGCAAAGAGCTACTCAACTGATGAGTCACTTAGATGGCAAAGAGCTACTCAACTGATGAGTGACTTAGATGGCAAAGAGCTACTCAACTGATGAGTCACTTAGATGGCAAAGAGCTACTCAACTGATGAGTGACTTAGATGGCAAAGAGCTACTCAACTGATGAGTGACTTAGATGGCAAAGAGCTACTCAACTGATGAGTCACTTAGATGGCAAAGAGCTACTCAACTGATGAGTGACTTAGATGGCAAAGAGCTACTCAACTGATGAGTCACTTAGATGGCAAAGAGCTACTCAACTGATGAGTGACTTAGATGGCAAAGAGCTACTCAACTGATGAGTGACTAACAAGAGGAACAACGTCAAAGGATGAAAACTATTCCCGAGTTAACTGGAGCTTAGCATGGCCTCAGGGAAAATAAACTTTGGTTTGCCTTGCATAGAGAGCTGCTGTTTGTAGCTTAAACAGAATTTAGTTGAGAAACAAAGACTGAAATCAAAACAGCAAGCTAGTAGAACTAAACTTCCTAAAAAGTCAGAAATGATAACATGAGTAAGACAGGGTGAGTAAGACAGCGTGAGTAGGACAGCATGAGTAAAACAGCATAAGACAGAGTGAGTAAGACAGTGTAAGACAGCGTGAGTATGACAGCATGAGTAAGACAGCATGAGTAAGACAGCATGAGTAAGACAGCACACATAAGACAGCATTCGTAAGACAGCACGTGTAAGACAGCAGGAGTAAGACAGCAGGAGTAAGACAGCAAATGGTATGCCCCAACCGGTCCCTGCATCTCAATAAAAATGTCCAGTGGATGAAGACACCAAGCAACCAAATCACATGACTTGTTCACCATCACGGTCTCGTCGACAAATCAAAACAAAAGGTTCATCCTCGCAGCATTCATTCATTGATAGGGTTGCAGTCTTGACTTAGCACCGAGTCCTGTAAAAATGTCACTATGGTCTGACCAAGCTGCATGGATTGTGACGTCATGTCGGAGGTCGGCACAACCTGGGCAAGTTCCTGAGATGCCAGACTTGAATCGCTCAAAACTACTGGGAGAGAGGTGCCGAAAATACTTATTATATAGGATAATACAGAACTTATTAAACGATCATAAATATATTTGAAAAGATCTACTTTTAACCATCATTACTTTTTTTAACAGTTTAAAGGAATTTTGCAAACCAAAAAACAAATTTTCCAATGCCAAAGAACAGTTGATGAGTAAATTTTGTAAAGCACTGGTGCCAACATCTCCTGGGGAGGTTGCAAGCAACATGTAAAAAGGTGGCCCAATAAAAGCTGAGTCTGTCCTGAATTATCTTTCATTGCTAGAGCAATTCTGGTTTGATTACTTTCTTAAATGAAAATAGTTTCATCAAAAGACTTACCAACGCAAGCATGAGTTCATTATTCCAGCAACTTCTGGTTTCAATCTTTAAATTTTAAGAAATTGATTCAATTAGATAAACCCTTGCTTGACTCAAGAGTCAACTATCGTGCAATTTTAATAGAAGCGGGGGGGGGGGGGGGGAGAAATAACAAGCACGTCACATTAATGCAATTATTTCGCACACCACTGCTAAATCGTTTAGTGATTAATTTGCTTCTTCTTCTATATATTAAGGGCCCACGATCAATTTATTGATTAGAAATCAAGACGTTCTTATTTTATTTGGCCACCCTTGTCGGTGTTTAAACAATAAACTTGGTAAAGTTTGAATCCTTTATTTGTACAAATATGGCTCCTTGATTTAAACAAATGTCCACTTACTGTGTTGTAACTGTCCCTGTGACTTTAGCTGCTGTGTTACAGGGCAGTCTTTGTGAGCTAACAGCAGTGTCTTAAGCTGGGCTACCTCACCCCTCAGCAACTTCACCTCATTCTGCAACAGAGCATCAGACCCAGAAAGAATAGATATTTGATCTATTTCAAGTAATTTTTTTTTTCACCATTTATCTGCTACAATAAACAAGGTTTCCCTGACAGACATTATTTTTGGGCCATTTCTGGACACTTGGTTCACAGTATTAGAATCCCTGATTGTGTTATATGTAAGGGAGAGATCATAAACAAATATCTCAAATCCCAATGACTGCATTTTTTTTAAAATCTGAGCTACCCCAATATCTGCATTTATCTAAAGTTTCAGAAAATCACATACCTGCAATCTGAAGTTTGTACCTTGCAGTTCATCAGCCTTTTTCTCCAAGTTACTAATCCAGTGTTTTCTCTTCTGCCGACACCTGGCAGCCGCAGCCCTGTTCATACACAATGAAGCACTCAATAGGATAATCTTAGCACGGGGGGGGGGGCATCTTTTCATATCACCATAATGTCATTTAAAGGTTTGAATGTACAACTAAGCATTTACCAATGTTGTAAAATTTGTTTCATTTTCATTCCATATCTTAAATCTTTATTTTTAATTTTTTAAATACTGTGCTTGCGGGTCAGATTCAAAACTTGGATAACATAAAGATGGGACAAACAACTGTCCCCAAACAGCAGCAAACTCAAATGACCTGTTTCTTTCTAAGAACTTTCTCCTCCTCTCCTCTGGGTCACCTGACTCTGGACTCATTTTTTGGCGTTTGCTTTGAAAAATAAACATTAAGAAAATTTGTGACATTCTAAAATAGAATTATTAAGACTTTTGTAAAACAATCTCAAGCCATCTGATTTTATTCTACCAGAGAAGTTATTTTACAGGTATCGTAGCTAACACTTTAGGCTATAAAACATAATTTAAGATTACAGGACAATATTTTTTTTTAATATCTGACAATGGTTCAAATTGTCTGGAAACCTGCAACTTGATTTTTTAGTTAGAAATTCAGCTGACATACATCTGCTTGGTTGTTTTCTACTTCAACAAACAGCAAAAAAAAAGGCTTTCATAATTAAGAGTATCTCTAATGTCTTTTTAAACACGTAAATTCATTGGTTTAAGAGTTAACAAAGTTTTTATAATAAATATAAGATTCACCAGGAAGTCCCCTACTCACCTGTCTATTGAATAATCTGAGGAATCTGAAAAGTTCATCTCTGACCCAGGTGATTCCACCATGACGATCGGAGAGGTGTCACCCATGAGGACCTGCCCGCTTCCACTCCCAGGGGTGGCAGCATTGGTGGATATATAAGAGGAAGTGTTGGAAGTGGCTAGACTGACCTCTGAACTTTTGGCTGTAGGACTCAGCTGGCTCTGCAACTGAGCTTTTAACCTCTACAAAAGTTAATTGAAAGTAGTTATACAAATAAAGAATACAATCCCATAACTTTAAAATGGTTGTGTTAAAAGATTATATATGTGGGACCGCGTTCAAGCAATGTAATGTAACTAAAGCGTGGGGAAAAAAGTATGTTTGGGCTTGAAACTAAAAGACAACAATTAAGCGGACGTTTCGGCCAGATGCCTTCTTCAGCCGACAACACAATCAACAACAGATCAATTTTAATAAAAAAATAAAACTTATCTTTTCGAAGATCTCAAAAACATCAATGAAGTGCAATGCTAAGAACAGGAAGCAATCTATATTAAAAGGGAACTTATTACCATAAGAATGAATTTACTTAACTCCTTCCCGACGGTTGCGACTAAATGCGTCCTTTGGGGGTTTCTCCTGATGCGTCCAAATGCGTCCCGGCGCATAGCGACACACCTCTATAATTTTTAGTTATAAATAGCAATGAAATCTCGCGTCCCTCAAGACTTCCAGCTATAGCGTGATTTCTGCTTGATTTTAATTAAAAAACCGGAAGTTTTTATCTTGTTTCACTTTACAACTACGTGTGCTTTAGAACAGCGCGTCTATATGTAGTATGTGTTCGTCCGATGTGCCAAAAATCAATTTTTTGGCCATTTTTCATTATTTTTTCGCCGCTAATGTGATATTTTTATTAAACCTTATTCATTTTTTGATGCTTTCGTCCTTATTTCATTAACATTTATTATTATTTAGCAGCTTAAAATATATTTTAAAAATGTAAACCAATTTCAAAACTGAGTTGCCTCCCTTTTCTCAGGAAAATAAATTAAGTACCGGTACTGAAGTAGGACTGCCGGAGGGAATGAGTTAACAAATTACCTTTTCTCCTAGAGGAAGGCACACCTGTTCATTGGTTCCCCCCCCCACCCCCCACTTTTATCTGTTATCCCAAAAGTGAGGGCAGACCTGTTCTTTTTTATTTTTCATCTTTTTTTAAGTTTATTTAAACCTTTGTTTAATTTTCCCTATGAAATAACTGTACCAGTGTGAGTCCCATGCTTGTGGTCTGACTGGATTGTAATGATGGTGTAAGAAATGTACCTGTTTGAGTGCCATGCTTGTGGTCTGTATGGATTGTAATGATGGTGTAATAACTATACCTGTTTAAGTGCCATGCTTGTGGTCTGACTGGATTGTAACGATGGTGCTGGTTTTGATGGCGCTGGCTGAAGTGCTGGTAGTTGTGACAAACTGTGCATTGGGGCTGTCTGTGAGTTTCCATAATACTGGATCTTGTTGATGGTAGCTGGTATGCTAATAGGTACTGGAATATAAAGTTGAATAAGGCTACAAAGATGTGAATAAACAATATCACCCCTTTCAGTACAACCTCACACACTAATGTAAAATCTCACACACAAGTGTACAATCTCACACACAAGTGTACAATCTCACACACTAATGTACAATCTCACACACTAGTGTACAATCTCACACACAAGTGTACAATCTCACACACTAGTGTACAATCTCACACACTAGTTTACAATCTCACACACTAATGTACAACCTCACACACTAGTGTACAATCTCACACACTAATGTACAATCTCACACACTAATGTACAATCTCACACACAAGTGTACAACCTCACACACTAGTGTACAACCTCACACACTAGTGTACAATCTCACACACTAGTGTACAATCTCACACACTAGTGTACAATCTCACACACTAGTGTAAAAGCTCACACACTAGTGTACAATCTCACACACTAATGTACAATCTCACACACTAATGTACAATCTCACACACAAGTGTACAACCTCACACACTAGTGTACAATCTCACACACTAGTGTACAATCTCACACACTAGTGTACAATCTCACACACTAGTGTAAAAGCTCACACACTAGTGTACAATCTCACACACTAGTGTACAATCTCACACACTAGTGTAAAAGCTCACACACTAGTGTACAATCTCACACACTAGTGTACAATCTCACACACTAGTGTACAATCTCACACACTAGTGTACAATCTCACACACTAGTGTACAATCTCACACACTAGTGTACAATCTCACACACTAGTGTACAATCTCACACACTAGTGTACAGTCTCACACACTAGTGTACAACCTCACACACTAGTGTACAATCTCACACACTAGTGTACAATCTCACACACTAGTGTACAATCTCACACACTAGTGTACAATCTCACACACTAGTGTACAATCTCACACACTAGTGTACAACCTCACACACTAGTGTACAGTCTCAGGCACCGCAGGTACTCACAATAAAACCCATTCATTTACAAGCCAATATTCCCCCACCCCACACCCTTTTTCCTAGTTGTGGATGGGGAAGCATGAAAAGTGCATAACCATCTTCATAAAATAATCACCAGCATCTTAATCAGATACCCAGTGATGTAAAGAAAACAAACTAATTGTAAACAAATGATTGGTTCAACAAATAGAAAGTGCTAATGAGCATTTATTCGAGTTTTAACTACTACTATAAATTGAAATATCAGTCGTGATCTGCCTAGAAAAACCATGTAAGGCATTTCAGGGCAGTCAATGTATTCACTACCTGCTGTGTTCACCACCTGTCAGTGTTGCTGCGTTTACTACCTGTCAGTGTTGCTGTGTTTACTACCTGTCAGTCTTGCTGTGTTTACTACCTGTCAGTGTTGCTGTGTTTACTACCTGTGGCGTTCACCACCTGTCAGTGTTGCTGTATTTACTACCTGTCAGTGTTGCTGTGTTCACTACCTGCTGCGTTCACCACCTGTCAGTGTTGATGTGTTTACTACCTGTTGTGTTCATCACCTGTCAGTGTAGCTGTGTTCACTATCCATCAGTGCAGCTGTGTTCACTACCTGTCAGTGTAGCTGTGTTCACTACCTGTCAGTGTAGCTGTGTTCACTACCTGTCAGTGCAGCTGTGTTCACTACCTGCCAGTGCAGCTGTGTTCACTACCTGTCAGTGTAGATGTGTTCACTACCTGTCAGTGTAGCTGTGTTCACTACCTGTCAGTGTAGCTGTGTTCACTACCTGTCATTACAGCTGTGTTCACTACCTGTCATTACAGCTGTGTTCACTACCTGTTTCTCCCGTGGGAAGTTGTAACAAAACCTGCATGGTGCACTGTTGTTGGTCGGCAGCATTGGAGTCACCCTCATCCACTTCCCGTTTGACAACCTCACTTTTGACCATCATATCCTGCTTGGTCATGATGGACCCGTCTGTGGAGGTGAACACCTGGGACTGCAAGCTACAGGGGGGTACAGGTGGGACATGATTTGAACATTAAGCTGTGAGGAATAGGGACATTAACATTGAAACATCGCAAATGGTGCGCAGTGGAGTTTTTACACATGGACATCATTTAAAAACAAAATTTAAACATAATTTAATCCAGACATCAAAAGGGATTGGAAGAGTCTACTTCATGCTACAAATACAGAGGTTGGCAGACATGACCAATACAGAGGTCGACAGACAATACCAATACAGAGGTCGGCAGACAAGACCTATTCGCTCAAATATTTTTTAAACCCAGGGTCCTCGGTTACCAAGCAAACAGGAATTAATTATGAGAGTAACCATACTATATTTAGTTTTCTTTCTTTCTACATTTAGTGTACAAGGTTTAAACGTATCGAAATTGTGTATTTAATGAATTGATGATTACACAGCCTGTAACTGACATGGATTTTGGTATCTACAAAACATGGATTTTGGTATCTACAAAACATGGGTTTTGTTCTATGTAAATCATAGATAGTGTATTTGTTATCACAAAGCTTGCCAAGATTTTATTCACGAATGCTTTTATTGCAAGACATCTCACCTGGGGGCTCTAGGAATTCCCTGTGAAGGTATCCCAGGATGCTCCATGACAGGAGAAACATCGCTGGTGCTGTCAGCATCCTGCGAACACATAATAACATGCAATGACACTTAACTTCGGAGTCATCTAGACACAAATATATGACTCCTAAATGGAAAAACTTTTAAGTAGTTCGTAATAAATTGAATAATTAATGTTTTAAAAATCTCCAAGATGTGCCATCTCGGCTGCCTGGAGAATACTTTCATTGGCACAGTGGTCATCTTTAGCTTGTTGCAGACCTGTTTACCCTCAAATTCCTAAAATCGTACAATCTGGTCTCAAAATCGTACAATGCAATATCTCTATAGTAAATAAATAAAACTACAGTAACGCAATAAAGACTAATTATGTAACACCCCCCCCCCCTTTCCGTTGCACGCAGACGTTTTTACGACCCCCCCCCCCCCTCTTTTCCTCAATTACAATAAAAAATTAGCAAAGTCCATTATATATTATGTTACAGTAAACAAAATGTGACACGGGTTTTCACCACTGGTGATTCGTCCAGCCCAGTGGTTCACAGAATATATGCTACATCTGACTACATCGCCCTGGGTGCTCGCTGCCCTTTGGCAGGGCCATGATAATATAACGAAGAGCAACCGCGTGAAAATCGTCTATAGAAAGACACTTAAACAGTCAATTCAACTATAAAAAACCATTTACACACATATTAAGGGCGCAATAAATTGTCCTTTTAAATGGGGGTGCAAATTTTCTATATGGGCTGCTGCGGCTTCCTAACAGGGGCGTTGGGAAATTTTAAAGAAAAATTTCATAATTTTATTTTTACTTTAAATCCAATGTGACATCTTTCGGTCCAGTTACCCAGTTGAGTATCTACTGTTTGTAGCTACAGATGGCACTCAGTGACCTACATACGTGTTATATTTATTTTTATCCCATCCTTTGTTTTATTTTGGTATTCGCTATGTCCAAGTCCACTTGTTAGAATGTCACACAAGGCGCCTGGTGAAAACCTAATATTGCACAGGCGCCGGCAAACAAATATTTTAGAACCACTGGCGTAGCCCAACGAAATATACGTCGTGCGCGCGTTGAACATTGGGTGGACTTAACATCACCCTACTGTAATTCTTCTACTATTNTTTTTTTAAAACGCACATACCTTCCTCCGAGGACACCCCCCCCCCCCCGCACCACACACCCGAACTGTCATTACGAAAATTTGGCGATGTTGAGTATATAAATTTAAAAACTTGGACCGGCGCCGTGCACACAATCTCTTAAATCAACACCACTCCTTTTATCTCAGATTGATTGCTCATGAAAAGTCCGACTGTGCTGTTTGCGTCTGATGGACCCTTATTTGAAGAACGCAACTCAGTCAATTTTGTCTGATATTCAAGATAGGATATCAGCGAATAAACTTTCTTTTTCCTGAATCTGATGTTCAGTTGAAGTTCCTTCTTCATCATCGGTTTCGCGTGCCTTTCATTGTGTCGATGCCATATCGTAATGTATTGTGCATGCTCAACTACGGTAACGAAAACAAAAAGGGCCGTCGATTCCATTCATGGTAACATTAAAATATCGCAATGTGCACATCCGTCTATGGAGCCCACTTCGTACGGCAGGGCTGTTTGGACAATGGGACATCCATATATAACATACTCGGTAGGCAAAATGAAATGTAAAAAATATTCATAACCCCCCCTCCCCACCTTGTCAACGTAAAGCTATCCAACTACTACGTACACGCTGAGGATGCGCATGGCAGCTTTGATGGGAAAAGTGGGGGGGGGGGGGGGGGGGCAGACTGCACCTACATTTATGCATGAATTCTTCAATGATTATCCTGACAGTTTCTTATGGAGCCAACTGTCACCTGAAAATCTGTAAAGGCCATGAATTCCAATTAGGCCCATTGTTAATTATTATTATTAAGGCTATAAAACATCACCACAGTGTTTCGCAGTTATCGTATACTAATGCTTTGTGTTTTCATCAAGAAATCACTCTAGTAGTAATATGGTGACAACACGTCTTTCCGTGCTGTGACGTCATTGTTTCCAACCATCCCCCACCCTCATTACTGGGAAAAAACTATGCCGTCGCCTACCCAAAAGGCGCTTGATTTTTTCAGTTAACACGCTTGAGTCCAGTGGTGCCGGGCAAACTCATGAGTCAAAAGAGCCACAAAAAAAAAAAACACCAGCAGGGGGATTAAAATTTGTTTGAGAGCCAAATTCTTTGTCAAGAACCTGCCAAGAACCATGTTTTTGGGAGTCAAAACCGTTTGTGGCCGGCTGACCAAGCAGCACTCAGATCGCTAAAGAGCCGCATGTGGCTCGCCAGTCTGCCATTCACTTCCTAAACCTTAATCTTCTCTCTACCGAAATTCCATATTGGCCCGATTTTAAATGCCTTTTCAATAGTATGCTCTACCAAGTCACAGCGCTTCTCGTGCAAAAACAATCTTAAGGACTCTAGCTTGGTCACCACTTTGTAAAGAGTAAAACGTTTTTATTGCAGATATTGCTGTGTACGATTAAGTTCCTCGAGTAGATCACACCAAAGNGCAGACCTGTTTACCCTCAAACCCCTAAAATCGTACAATCTGGTCTCAAAATCGTACAATACAATATCTCTATAGTAAATAAATAAAACTACAAAATATTTCCATATATTGTGTAAATGTCGCTGACTGGATCTTATAAAATACCGATATGCCCAACATCCAACGCTCCACAGCAGAACAGTTGGATCATCTAGTTTATTGTAAAAACCATCTCTAGTTTTACAATCGCCGCGGTTCTGAGGAACAAAATAATTATGTACCAAAACTACGTCACACGCTTGGTAGCAGTCAAAGGCGATGGTGAGTGAAGTTGTCGCTAGGGCGACACATCCAAATATTACTGTTGACGCAGCCAGCTAGTTCACTGTGATCCCGTCAATACGATACGTCGGGGTTATTTCTTTATATCCTTTGACACTCCCACCAATCCCCTACCCATGCGTGTCTCGTTGTATGCCACAATTTCCGTCATCAACAACCCCACCTCCCCAGTCCCCATGAGTGCTTTCGAAATATAATAAGGATAGGCCCAACTTAAAAAAAAAAATCCAACCATTCGTTTGTCTCGTTCGTATTCACTGCCAGATCTTCATGAGAGAGGGCTAAAACGCCCAAACCCGAAAATTTATTAATTTTTTTAAATGGGGGAAAAAATTTTTTCCACCGGGTCTCTGAAAATCGTAGTTTTGGCGGGTCTTGGCGTACAATCGTAAAAGACATCTAAACATCGTACATTCTACGCCAAAATCGTAAGAGTAAACAGGTCTGTTGTTGCATTGTCAACAGAGCTATGATTTGTAGATGTTTAAGTCTTTCTATTGACAATCAAATAAGAAACTTGGCAACAATTTTGCCTCTAATGTTGCTGATACTGTGTTACATTAGTTAACAATGTTCATGACAACAGCTAGAATTGTTATTAAGAAATTCTTAATGTCTCACATAACAAAGTTCATGACAACAGCTAGAATTGTTATTAAGAAATTCTTAATGTCTCACATAACAAAGTTCATGACAACAGCTAGAATTGTTATTAAGAAATTCTTAATGTGTCACAAAAGTTAGCCAAGTTGATAACAATTTGAATTGTTAAAGAGCCAAATGACTATTTAATTTGAATAATAAACTTAATGATGAAAGACAGAAAATGTACATCTGAACACCTTACTCAAGGACTTTAGTAACTCACATCAGAGAGAACAGTTGTTCTTTCTAAATTGATGCCAATGCTTAATGCAACTAAACATTATTTGCCTGAGAGGTAAGATTTCTGTTACCTGTCAGAAACCAGCACCGTTCTTTACCTGAGAGGTATAGTTTCTTTTAGCAGTTAGTTTTGTGGAGGCGGGTTGAGCTGACATGACACTTTTTCCAGACAGGTCCAAAACCAGCTTGCTGGGTGTTGCTGTTTTGGCTAAAGGACTTGGCCTCAGGGGTTCTGTACTCTTGACCTTGTCTACCCCATGGTGAGTACCTGAAACACCTGAGTTTTTTGGTGTGTCCGTCAGGATAAGTGTTGGTGTGTTCAATTCGCCAGTGGGAGGACCAGGAAGAGGTGGCTGTGGGTGAACAAAAGAAATAAAAGTCTCAAATATGACATTCATTTGTATTCATGCACGATATAAATAGTGTTGTCTTTGTTTAAAACTTTAGGATATACTTATTAACACATTTTGCGCTGCTACAAATACTTGCAGAAAATAAAACGATTTTTAAAAAAAAAATTTCAAGCTGTCTGCCAAACATACATCACTGTCAAGTGCTTTTTTGTATGCATGATCAAATGGATTGGAAGACAGCTCCTGAAACAGGCCAATCTCTTCACAGTTTTTTAGGAATTTAGTTGGAGTGGGAGTCTGGTCTGAAACAATAGAATATTAAAGTTAACAGTAATTTCTTTAAAGGAAATCTATGATCTAATGTGGAAAAGCAATTACCTGTTCATCGCTTTCAATAGGAAGGAACCTGTTTAAAATTATCTTTTTAGGTGAGAATAATAGTTAGTGATTAATGATTTTTTTTACAACCTTAATTTAAACATATTAAAATAATCCAAAGTTAATGAAATTTAAAATTACATACCCCTGGTAATAAAAATATTATATTAATAATGTAAAGCAAAATTGTAATTGACCATTTTCTTGTGTCTGTATGAACAGAGAAACAATCACACATGAAATACAGAAAATCGATATGTTAAGTATGTAAGATAGGCAAATTTTCATCCTCCCCTCCCCTGTTGCACCCTTACATTTTTGGACATTCCCCCCCACCATATGAATATGCAAATGAAACACACACACCCCACCCCCTCTACCCCATTTCTTTAAAAAATAAATCAATATATTTATAGACAAATAAGATGTACAATATGATTAAACCAAGTGACAATGAAATCGGCTTTACCAACTATTTGGTTCAACAGAATATAATAATTAACCTGAACAAATGATGTCATGTGTTTTCTCCACTGATTGTTCAGCATAGCAAATACAATCTTTACTTCATACGAAAAAAATAATTACATCACAAGCACAGTACCCTGAAGTTGTCACTGGTAAAAAAACCTATTTTTTTCAGAGTATAGGCCACTTTACTCCTCCTCATGTAAGTCTTTAACGAGAAATCTGGCATACAATTGCGATATTGCAAAAATAATAATTTTAAATGATGTATCTGAACACCCAAGTTTCATAAACCTAACCCGGTTTATAATCAGGACTGGCCAATATTCTGAAAATACTGTTTGACTGTTGCGATATCTAGCAGGTTCAGTTGTGAAAGCAAAAACAAAAAACAGTATGATGTTTAAAACTTAATGTTGCCTTGATATCTGTTTAGCCTTCACAAATAAGAAGAAATTATGGATTTCACAGATTTTAGGCAATAGCTGGCTCACAGAGATCAAAATAGGATATAAAGGTACCCTCTGAATTTCAGGATAATTATTGCACATTTTGTGCATAATTGTATGTACACATTCTGCCTAGACCTCCACCCCCGGTCGGGAAATCTCAAAATCAACAACCCCCTCTTCCCTCTCAGTGCATTCGTATGTATGGCCCTTAATCAAAATTTTACACCATACAATAAAATTGTATTTTTTAAACAATAATCGATGTGAATAAATAAAATAATTATGCCCAAACATGGTAACATCAGAACTGAAATTCTTTACATATAGAAAAAAATTTTATTATGACAACAACCCACCATATTGAATATTTATTTTTTTTAAATAAAATCTCTGTCATGACTTGTTTTCTTAATGATAGAAAATTTGATTTTGTGTTATTTATTTTTTACTTCATAGTAATAACAAAATAAGACAATGTCTGATTTTTCTACATATTGCGGCCAGTATTTTGTTAAATTAGTTTATCTTCGTTGATCTTTAGTGAAACAAAACAATCACAAAATGAAACTTTTATGTTTCACATGTATAACATGCATATTTAATATACCAATAATATACTAACCACCCATAGAAAAAATTAGTTACCTAAAAAATGATGTGCTGGTGAGTTACTGGATTGTCCGCTTGAGTTAAGAGCCAGTGACATTTCATGCTTCTTGGAGTGAACATTGAGATGATCTTCATTAATAAATCGCTGAAATAGAATTTGTAAACATGGGTACTAAAACATAATCGCTTATATACAATTTGCTTCTGTTATGTCATGCTTCCTTTTCGAAAATGCCCTCCCCCCAACTTTACATATTTTAAATTAATAGTACTGAGTGAAAAAAAAAAGGCTTTCATCCATGGGATGTGAACTCAGGTAAAATAAATTTCTTTAGCGGGAGGCGAACATTATATTAATCAATAAAGAACAGTGGTTATAGCATATGACTGTCTGTAGACCTAATGTTTAAAGGACGGGAGGTAGGGTGTAGGACTGTTTGTAGGCCTATTGTGTATTGTAGGACTGTCAGTGAGCTTATTTCTTAAAATACCCAGACCCAGAGTAAAAAACTGCACCCTTTTGAGCTCTAGTAAGAGATAATTTCTTAAAAAACCATAAGTGATTATAAAGCATATCTCTAAAATAAAATTTTTAACTTCTAGCAAAGTAATGCCGCCTTTACTTGTATTTATGCTTTCAAAAATGTAACTCACCATGGCGCAATCTGCAACGGGACAGACAAACGGTTTGTCATCGTTCATCGTTGCAGGTCTGCCTTTCACAGGCTAGACAACCACCAATATCAATCACAGAGCTAGTTTTCAAAAGGGTGAGAAATATCTGTATAATTGAAATATATTCAAATATCTGAAACATAAAACACATTTGAATCTAAAGATAGCAAATATTCAATTCTTTAAAACTCAATTTAGATAAAAAAGCATTAAAGCAAGTTTAAACTTTTTCTTGTCAAAGGTAAAGAATTTAACTATTTATATAATAACTAACATTAAGCAACATTAAGGACAATTGTTGAAAAACTGTCCATCTCTAACCCTTTCACAATATCTCGTCCAAAAATTATAGCTTTTTTTAGTTGCAGACACCTCTAGCTTAAGCAAACCAATTGCATGGGTGTTTGGGAGAGTATCCCAGCCAAAGAGGGTAGCATCAATAAGCCTTTTTTGTCAAATTACTAATAAATTGACATCGACTGAAGTAGCAAGGTCAATTTTTTATTATGTTATTATAGTGTTTTTAAAATGGCTATTGCAAACAACTGAGGGACATTTCTTATAATTTTCATAAATTATCAAACAAAAATTTTATTCTGAGAGAAAAGATGTTTTCCAAAAATAAATGACTGACACATAGAATATAAATCTCATATCACTTTAAGTATATTATTACACTGTAAGTGGGGAGTGCAATGAGACTTAAGTTTAAGACATCATGGGCATGGGCTATTAATTTAAGAATCTGTTGTTATCTATAGTTTGGTTGGCCTACATAAGTGTTTCCCCACCTATTTTTCCCCACACCCCATTAGAGCACATACAAAACATTTAATGAAATTTCCTCTTCCCCCTAAGTCAAGAGCTACAAAAAGAGGTCTCGTGCTGTTGTCAAGAAAATTTCAATTTTGTTTCCTGTTAACTGAACTGTGTTTAGGCCTCATAAATCCAAGTAAAATCTAGATTTGTACTGTAAAAACACTGGGCAGCTAGGATAATTATAATGCTTTCAGTAGTTATTCAGCTGAATTATTTATTAATATATGTTGCAGAATACATACATGAATAGATGTAAAGATAAAGTAGTAATAGTAATAATAATAAGTTAATATTATTACTATTACTCTAGGCAGTCTAGGTTGGGGATGTTGGAAATCAGTAGACCTAGGGTCAGACCTAGGACTATAAGCTACATTAGACTACAATTGACAATAGTAATAGTACTGCAATCTACATCAGGTGTCATGTAGAGTTAATCTTTCCTTTAAGTTAATTAGTTTAAGTTTAAATTTACGAAGTGGATGTGTACACCGCGGCGGTGTACCTAGCGAAACCATCGGCTTTGGCCTGCGTAAACCGCGGCGGTGTATCTAGCGAAATCGTGGGCTTTGGCCTGGGTACACCGCGGCAAAAATGTACCATTGGTCTTCTTTTAAGATATACTTGTATTTGCAGATCTTGTGTGGTCAAGTGGTAGAGTGGACGCTTGGCGTTAATATATTTCGAGATCAATTCCCAGTAGGGGATCGAGTTTTTGTTCCTCCTATTTTAGTTTTAAAATATTTTGTAGCAAATTAAACAATTTAAACATATTTTTAAATATTGTATTATATTATATATATATATATATATATATATTATAGTGTTTCAACAAGTTGTGCCGGCCTTTGACTTTGAAAATACCGGTAAATTTAGTAATAAGACATTTAGACATTAGAAAATAAACTTAAAGTTTCTGAAAGCGCATGTATAGTGTATGTAACATGTATAACAGAAACATTTTGAATACTAAGTGATATCCTATTGTATTTCAACAATCTTCGTGTAGTTGAATATTTACATTTTACTTTTACGAACACCCAAAGAAAATACCAGTATATCATTAATATCATATGAGTATGAATATTAATGTCATTATTGTGCATGGTCGTATTTCAACCTTGAACCATCTTGCTTTCGTCTTGCCTTATGCATTGGCAAAATGTACACACGATATCAAAGGTTCATTCACAACACTCAGTTTCACAGCAAATCTTTTGAAAACACCTCGATTTTAGAAACTTATGTCTATAGCAAAGCCATAGGAATAGGAAGTACTGTACTATGTGAAGAATATGTCTATTACTTACTATTACTATTATTATTAACTAATATTAATTACTAGGACTAGGAGAAATTCTCCATGGAGAAACATGTCACGAATATATGCAGATCAGCATATAACGAAATTAGAAAAATCAGCACCATTAGACACCTCCTCTCCTTTGATGCCACAAAACTCTCGTCTCTTCACTCATTCTTTCAAAATTTGACTACTGTAACATTCTTCTCTCAGGCATTCCTCAACACCACATAGAAAAACTTCAGAAGGCACAGAACTCAGCATGCAGACTCATTTTTAAATTAAAGAAACATGACCACATTCAACCACA